ACCCGTGAAAGGAGAATCGACACTCACCACCTCTTCGTGGATTTTAAAGCTGGAGAAGGACCTGTCTCACTTGGAATATCTAATTGGCGCCATGTAGTGAAAAGAAGAAACGACTGGCGCGCGGTTATTAATTCGGCTATAATCGCGTAAGCGGTGACTACGCCAATCAAGAGGAAGGGAGGATAAATATCACAGTTTCGTGACTTGCTCATTGCCCCAATGTTTATGTACTGTTGCTTTGTTAAATTATTTTCTATTAAAGGAGGTTAAAGTTTTTCTCAGTTTTGTAGCCCTAGATGGAGATGAAGCTGCCTCCTTTAAAATAAAGTTTAAATCATTTGCTTTTGATGCATAAGCTGATATTGAAGCAGCATGGACCTTATTATCTAACCAAAATTTAGCTATATCCGTAATTTTTATTTTCACGCAATCTTAAATAATTTAGAGCAGTTGGCTGCAGTTGATATTACACCACATGAAAGTACACATCATTACCTTTCTCCACATATATATTGTTCAACAAATACGTCCCAATAAACAAAGTACTACTCCAAGAAACACGAGGTCAATAACCAAAACTCCACAGTAAATACGACACAATTTGATGCAACAAAAAATTTACAACAACATTTTTATGAAACTTATTAATAACATTTTTTACATACCTGAATTAATATTTTCCATTTTATAAAAATTGTATACAATTATAATATTTTGTTAAACAATGGAATAAATGTTAGGCACTATAAAGGTGAATGTCAGAAAACAAAACAAACCAAAAAACACTACAACTTTGACAGCTTGGCTTTAAGACATGGGTTGCCACCTGACTCTAATTTTTGTATTTTTGGGTATTTAAAAATGTTTATTACAAAATGCCATTATCCTTTTTTTTTGAAATAGTGCACTCTAAAAATTGATTTTTGCCTCAAAAACCATTCATTTGACCTATAGTGCGCACTCGTCAACAACTCGGTATAACGGAACTGTGGAACGGCATTTCAAGATCCTTATTTACAACTGTAACCGAAACCATTGGTTTTCGGAAAATGCAAAAACAGCTGGTATGATGAAGAGTGCCGTATCGCAGCGGAGAGAAAGCAGACTGCCTACCTCGTAACGTTACAATCGTCCCACACAACACGTGCGGGCATTTGCAAACAAACAAAAAAGAGAGAGGCCAAAGTACGTGGTCGCTCTATTGGTATCGGCTCCACATGGTCGGTACCTAGGGGCTTGAACAGTTTTGGTTGGATTTGGAAAATTATTGGTCAAAAGCTGGCTTACTTCAAGGGAATTATTACCGCAAAGTGAAAGGATCAAATGGAATTTTAAATTGTGTTTAGGGTATGTAAATGTTTAGGCTTATATGTTAAGTAGAAATCCTGTAGTTTACTAAGAAAAATAATTCAAAGCTCCACCTCGCCCGACACTATAACAAAAAAAAAAAAAGTCTAGTTGTTTTAATGATTCGTTGTTTTCCCGTAAAAAACAAAATAATCCATTAACTAAATTAATCTTTATATCATTATTATTAAATACATACCATGTTGTCTAGAATCCATAAAAAATATCTTCCAAAATAAAAAAAAAAAAAAAAAAAAAACCACTTGTAATGTCGAGTTTCGCGAAGAAGCACGTGCGTTCCTACCAAAATCTAGGTTCCGACTACTTGTGTGCCAATATAGTGGGCTGAAGGTCATTCATATTACCGGTTCATTTACGGTTATTTAGGTACTAAAAAAAATCAATTTTGAGTAGGATCGCTGAAGTTTGTAATTTTCTTTTTTGTCCGGTTTTTGAAGGCAAATGCTCTTATGGGCGGTGTTATGTGTTTTCGAGAAAAATGTTCTGTGGAAGATAAATGGTCGTTTGCGTATTGGTAAAGGCGAGTACTGTAGTCGATGGAATGATGAACTGTAAGAGTACATAGTTCAGCGAATTAGGAGACAGTGGCTACGCTGGCTAGGTCATGTTGTCCGGATGGACGAAAACACTCCAGCTCTGAAAGTATTCGACCTAGTACCCATCGAGTAAGCAGAGGAAGAGGAAGATTCCCACTCCGTTGGAAAGATCAGGTGGAGAATGTTCTGACTACACTTGAAGAAAAACTACCTGCGCGCCGTTGTAAACTCGGCTATAACCGCGTAAGCGCGTGTCTACTCCAATTAAGTAGAAGAAGAAGAAATGCGAGCATAAGGGTACAAAAGCTATGTAAAGGATTTAATTAAAAATATTAACTCACGAGTATTCCTGCATTTATTAATAGAGTCATTTCTTAATTTTTCAAAATCGTTGTCAAGGATTTCGATAACACGTTCCATTATTACAGCATCTTTAGTATTTGAATCATCGTTCGGCTTTTTATACAATTTTTTCAGATGTAAAAGGTTTTTAAAAGTACTGAAAAGGAATAACCTATTGATTACGTAAAATATGGAGGAGGTTAAAAAAACAGTTATTTAGAGGAAAATTTAAAAATTTTCTAACACTTACGCTAATAATATGATTGACAACAGAAGCAGTGAAGTTAGCAATAAAGCGCATACTTTTGGGCATCTACATTCTTCTGGTGTATATTTGTTTCGGTTGCAATACCACACTAAGAAAGCAATCCTGAAAGTAAATAATAAACGTTGCAGCATAATAGTTCACTTAATGAAATGATCTCAAATTTAAAATGTAAGCAATTAAATAAAACCAGCATTATGCACTATTGGACAAGAAGCCGTGATTTGATTCGATTGTGAAAATTTCTAATACTACTTTAGTTATTTCCTTAAAACGGATTACTTACATCAGTAAAAACGCTAAAACACATAAAACAGCCAGTACTATAAGAATATAGAACGTGGTGAATAATTCGGCAAAGTCTTGTTTCTTTGTTTTTGGACCATATTCATCTCCTTGCACGTATCCTTTAAAGTAATATCATAATATGTTTAGATACAGTGCTTTAAACACGTAAGAAGTTCTATTTACGAGTATTTATTTATATGAATATGGATTGAAAAAATTTGAATTATTGTTCAAATATATTGCGTAAGATATAGTATATCGTCACCTGAAATGCAAAATAACGTATCATCAATAAATTCGAAATTGAGTGTCTTATTGATTACGATTCACTACTTCAAATTACATACATAAAATTACATATGTCCAACATTTTCAGGTTCTGCCCTCAGATATAAACCAGTTTTAAGCAATATTAAATTTTTTTTTTCACTCATGTTCCATTATATTTTGTGTTTCATTCATGCCACTGTAAATTTCCGAAAATGTTGTTACGTTATTTTGCATTTCAGGTGACGATATGTATTTCAATTGTTTTTATTTGCCGATTTTGAATTATTATATATATAAAAGATAGAAAAATCACTAAAGTGTGGCTATCTGAATTCTGTCAGTGTGATTTGTTTCAAAATGTTGTTTCCAACTATTCAGTTCTTGCAATACTAAATATTCCTCCAAGAGCGCAAGTAGAAATCTTGTATCCGATGAATATTGAATAGGCACTATTTCACTCAATGGTTTGAGTTCAATGTCCCTTTCCACTAAAAGAGAGGAGCCGAAATACGTGGTCGCTCTATTGGTATCGGCTCCACATGGTCGGTACCTAGGGGCTTGAACAGTTTTGGTTGGATTTGGACAATTATTGGTCAAAAGCTGGCTTACTTTAAGGGAATTATTACCGCAAAGTGAAAGGATCAAATGGAATTTTAAATTGTGTTTAGGGTATGTAAATGTTTAGGCTTATATGTTAATTTCAAAGCTAATAAGTATTAACCCCTATTTGTTAATCGACGCGACGTTTTTTCATCATAATATTGTATAATATTTTTTTAATCACATAAGCTCATCACTTCCATAACTTTTCATTGGGCGAATAGCATCAAAGTACGTTACATAAATGGAAGTGTAGCAGTAAACTAACACTTTGCTTAGAGATGCAATGTAAACACAAAATGGACTTCGACTATTTCGCATTGCATATTGAAGTATAATCTCTATATACCGCGTTCCACTTTTACGGACGCTAGTTTATCAGTGAGTATGTTGGTTGAGATGGTTGCTTAATATACTAACAACAAGTAGTTCCTGAAAATAGTCGGTTAAAACTTTAATATTAATGTAAACTTACCATCTGGTAATTTATTGGTGCCAAAACCGTTCAAAAATAGTTGTGTCAACCCTTTAAATATCGGCTTCGGTGAACAATTCTGGGTGTCTGAGGGCATATCTTTGAAATTTACGTGTTTCAGTTAAAAAAAAAATTGAAGATCCTAAGATTTCGCAATATCTTCAATTTTTGTAGCTTCGAAAGATATTATGTTTCCTTATTTATAAGCGTCTTAAATTCAGTAATGATAAAGTTAGTATAACTGATTTTATGTGTTAATAGACCGAAAATGGTGTAAGAAAATTCCAAATTGTGAAAATTTTTTCTGAAAGTAATGAAATGTTGTTTTTTTCAATGCTCAATCATTTCAGACAGCAGCATGTAAAACATAATTGAAAAGAACACTCAAACTGTATGTACATATAATACTTTGCAAAAGAATTTTTCTCCTACGAGTATAATCAGTTACTTAAGCAAAGCCCAATTGTGACCCAATTCGAATTTGTCACTCCAAAGTACGTACTCTACTTACATATATAGTATGTATAGCTGCGAGAGCTTTCTATATTTGGGGCTTTGCTTCATCAAAAGTCGGTTAAAGAATACATTAATGGAGATGCGATTATCCTGACGTAAACAACCCGCTGGTTGTTTCCGAAGAATATTTAACAGTGGGACTTGGTGACAGTAAATCTCTAAATACTAATTAGATCAAACCCTATATTAATTTCGGCCTGACAATGAGTATTGTTAATGAAAATCATCCATGCGGATGGTTTTAATATTACTAGCCCACAGTGATTTTGTTACCTCAGAGTAAGATTGGTTTTGTATGAATTTTATTTTATTTTATTTATTTTTTAATTTTTAAAATTTCTTTTCATTCCATATTACTAAAATAGGAAAACATTAATGAAACAGCATATACAAGGTGCATTTCAAAGTAAACAGGACTTAAAAAAATTTTGTTTTCGGCTAAATCAATTTATTTTATTCCGAATAGTCTCTTTCTGCTTGAATACAGCTTTTTGCACGATGCAAAAACATGTCTAACGAATGTTTTAGCTCGTTGGCCAGTATGGCCGACGGCATGCCGGTGAAAATCTTTTGAATGGCCTCTAAGTCTGCATAACACTATTCTTTCATGGACAAATGCATTTTTCCACATAGGAAGAAGTCGCCATATCAGGGGAATATGTGATTTTCGGGCAAATAATCGTCCTTCGAATGTTGGATTCTGAGCAATTTTTGAGCAAAATTTGGTCGTCAGTCAATTCGTGCGGACCAAACCGTACAGACACCTTTCGAAAACCCAAATTTTCTGTCAAAATGCGATAAATCGATGTTTTGGAGGTGTTTAATTTTATTTCCATTTTGATGAATTCATGCACAGATTCGATGAAATTTCCGGTGATCATGGATTTTGATTAGCTCACATGTTGATCGTCATTTATGTCCTCACGACCACTTTGAAAACGTTGCACTCTGCTACGGGATAGGCAATCATCACCATAAATTTGTTTCATTAATTGAAAAAGTTTTACCAATTTAAAAACAAAATTTAATGTTGGCTCTTTATCACAAATATATTAACACTGAAAACGCAATAACTTCACTTCCAATCAATGAAATATCACGATTCTCACTGGATAATCGATAAAGATAGCAGATTCTAACGCACCAGTCGACATTTAGATAGTGCCACCAGTAGGCGCTAGATTAGAAAAGTCCTGTTTACTTTGGAATGTACCTTGTAGTTATTTATAATATCTTTACTAAACGTCGTTTATGAGTTTTTCCTTTATAATTTTCTAGTTAATAATATCTTTTTAATGCTCAGCAGTATTCTGAGTTAATGGAACAATCATCCTTAATACTTTTCTTTCATCATTTCTAGATTCTACTGGAACAAGTTCTCTTTTTGTTCCTCACCTTAATAATTATCTAAATTATTTTCAATATAATCTAACTAGATACTCATATTTGACACTCTTAGAGCATTGAAGTTTGTCTCCATATTTTCGATAATTTCATAATCTGCTGCTTCATAGTTACCTAGTAAAATTTCGACTATCAACACTAAACTTCCCCATTCTACTAAGAAGCTGATACATGCTCGTTATCGACCAATCCATCGGCCTCCGTCACTTTGTTATTCTTCAGACGGGTAATTGCTATTTGAACTTCTTCATGATCGGGCAATGGAATCATCATCGATTGAGAAATCGGTTTTGCCATCGCCTAATGTTACGTCTTCACTGCCATTTAGTGGGCTGGACAAGTGTCCCCTCCATAATTTTAGTATGCTCTGGACATAGTATATGTTTTTTTTTTCCGAAAACCAATTATTTCTTTTGCACCTGTACGTACACTGGACTGGGATCACAACCTGATCGATCTGGTTGGAGGCTTTTCGATCTGGAGACAGCCAGGTAGCTTGATGAATTTTCTCAATTTTATAGTACTACAGCTAACCATATTTCTGGCCCGGTGAAGTCGATTATCCTCAATCCATATGGGGATGTTTCATCCCGAAGATACCTACTTTGTCACCGTGGCGTTAAAATCTCCAAGCACGATTTTAACATCGTGGCGGGGCAGGTCTCATAAGTGTTCTCAAAGCGCTCATGGAAGGCATTTCTTCTGTCGCGGTGTGGGCTCCCCCTGCGGGTAGGGGGGACCCCTCCAGGGCGGGGGGAAACAGAATATACCCGCGGCAAGGCATGCCTGTCGTAAGAGGCGACTATAAGCC